GTAGGATGGGGGTAGTAGGTTTATATAGGATGGGGTGTAGGGGGTAGTAGGGTTAGATAGGATGGGGTGACGTAGGATACATAGGTTGATTGGAGGGAAGAAGTATGTTTAGATAGGATGGGGAAAGTAGGGTTAGATAGTTAGAAGATGTTGAGGTATGGTTACATAGTTAGGAGGGGGAGATAGAGATTGGATGGTTATGGGGAGGGTGGAGTTAGGGGGTTGGGGCTTGGTTATTAGATTAGGGGGTTAGGTTTGAAAAGATCTGGTTGTTACCTATAGCAATATTCTTCCCCCCATGCAGAATGTACTCCTGGCGGGGGTAGGGGTGAGGTAGATAGATGTTGAGGTATGGGTTTTGGGGTTAGGTGGTTGGGGCTTGGTGATTAGGTTAGGTGGTTAGGTTTGGGTGGTTAGGTTTGAGGGGATCTGGTTGTTACTCATACCAATATTTCTCTACCCCCCCAGTTCTTTTCCCTCCCATGCAGTATGTACTCCTGGCATGTGTGTGGGGTATTTAGTTCCCCGTTTCTCCCCCTGTACATTGTAATTGAACATTTATCTTCCTGTTTTCATTAGGTGGTGGTGGTGGTGGATACCGGATCTTGCCTGTGGGGGCACTCCGCCTGGACCTACGCCCAGCTGTGACAGCCCGGTCTGTGGGGGAATTCCACCCGGCACCACACAAACCACTGCCAGGCCTCTCCATTAGTCGCTCTGAGTATTCAGGATGTTGCCGGGCTCTATCCACATGTCGGGGGAGACCCTGTCTGGGGCGGAGGTGAAGGGGGTATGTGAGGGGCTGATGGAGGGCAGCGTACGGCTCCTCTCCCTGCGCGGGTGCCACCTCTCAGACAGGGACTTTGCCCGGCTTTGTCAGGGGGTGGCCCAGTCTCCCTCCTTGGTTCAGTTGAACCTTAACCTTGGCGTTGTGTCCAGTGCCTCCCGCGCCCAGCAGCTGGCACAGTCCCTGCAAAAGAACCGCTCACTGCAGTCTCTCTTGTGAGTAGAGTGCCTGGGGTAAGTGGGGGGAGGGTTAGGGTTACTTGATGGGATTCTAAGATGTCTGTCTATCTGTCCTGCACACAGCTTACACGGGAACCCACTAACGGACACAGGACTCGCGCTCCTGAACCCCGCACTGGCCGGACACCCCTCCCTGGTCTCCCTAGATCTGGGGGACTGTCTGCTTGGTGATGAGGGCATCAGTCAGATCTGTGGCCTCCTCCCACCTGATGGAGCCAAGCCAGGTGAGTCCTCTGCCTGTCCATCCTCCTGTCTTCAGTGGCTCTGCAGAATACAGTCACCCTGGGTGAGCTTGTATATATGTACCGTGTTTCCCCGAAAGTAAGACACGGTCTTATATATTTTTTGGCTCAAAAAAACACACTAGGTCTTATTTTCGGGGTAGGTCTTACTTTTTTTTTTTTTCATGTACAACAATCCAAAATTAAATCATCCAAAATGGCAAAGTCAAGAATAGGGTGATCAGGGCAATCGGGTGCCGTACCTTTCCAAGAGCAATTTGGTAACCAATCGCTGGCCAGAATGAGCGAAGTGCGCTTTCACTATGAATTCATCACAGGCGGAGCGCATTTGGTATCACTCCGCCTGTGGCAGGAGCCGGCGCTGTAGAGGAAACATCAGTTATGCGGCTCTGCTCCCTCCGGTGCCGCCTCACTTCCTCTAGCGCTGGCTTCATTGGCACTGCTGATTCTCTCCCGCGGCTCTTCAAGTTCCCCATTATGCCACCACCGGCGCTGGGAATGGTCACAACTAGGCCTTATTTTCGGGGTAGGTCTTATATTTTAGCAATTCCCAAAAATAGTACTAGGTCTTATTTTCAGGGTAGGTCTTATTTTCGGGGAAACAGGGTAGGTAGGTAGAAAATGCAGGTAGGTAGGAGATGGTTTTCAGTGGTAAATAGGTAGAATATGGTTTGCAGTGCTAGGTTGACAGCATTAGGTAGGAGATGGTCGGCAGTATCTCATAGGCATTAGTAGGTAGAAGATGGTCAGCAGTGCTAGGTAGGTATCAGTAGGTAGGAGATGGTCAGCAATGCTAGGTAGGTATCAGTAGGTAGAAGATGGTCAGCAATGCTAGGTAGGTATCAGTAGGTAGAAGATGGTCAGCAGTGCTAGGTAGGTATCAGTAAGTAGAAGATTGCCAGCAGTGCTAGGTAGGTATCAGTAGGTAGAAGATGGTCAGCAGTGCTAGGTAGGTAGGAGATGGTTGGCAGTGCTAGGTAGGTAGGAGATGGCTGGCAGTGCTAGGTAGGTAGGAGATGGCTGGCATTGCTAGGTAGGCAGCAATAGGTAGGAGACGGTTGTCAGTGCTAGGCAGAGCAGCAATAGGTAGGAGATGGCTGGCATTGCTAGGTAGGCAGCAATAGGTAGGAGACGGTTGTCAGTGCTAGGCAGAGCAGCAATAGGTAGGAGATGGTTGTCAGTGCTAGGTAGGCAGCAGTAGGGAGATGTTTGGGAGTGCTAGGTAGGCAGCAGGAGGTAGGAGATGGTTGGCAGTGCTAGGTAGGTATCAGTAGGTAGGAGATGGTTGTCAGTGCTGGATAGGCATCAGTAGGTAGGAGATGGTTGGCGGTGCTTGGCAGGCAGCAGGAGGTAGGAGATGGTTGGCAGCGGTAGGTATACAGCGGTAGGTAGGAGATGGTTGGCAGCGGTAGGTATACAGCGGTAGGTAGGAGATGGTTGGCAGCGGTAGGTAGGAGATGGATGGCAGCGGTAGGTATACAGCGGTAGGTAGGAGATGGATGGCAGCGGTAGGTATACAGCGGTAGGTAGGAGATGGATGGCAGCGGTAGGTATACAGCGGTAGGTAGGAGATGGATGGCAGCGGTAGGTATACAGCGGTAGGTAGGAGATGGATGGCAGCGGTAGGTATACAGCGGTAGGTAGGAGATGGATGGCAGCGGTAGGTATACAGCGGTAGGTAGGAGATGGATGGCAGCGGTAGGTATACAGCGGTAGGTAGGAGATGGATGGCAGCGGTAGGTATACAGCGGTAGGTAGGAGATGGATGGCAGCGGTAGGTATACAGCGGTAGGTAGGAGATGGATGGCAGCGGTAGGTATACAGCGGTAGGTAGGAGATGGATGGCAGCGGTAGGTATACAGCGGTAGGTAGGAGATGGTTGGCAGCGGTAGGTATACAGCGGTAGGTAGGAGATGGATGGCAGCGGTAGGTATACAGCGGTAGGTAGGAGATGGATGGCAGCGGTAGGTATACAGCGGTAGGTAGGAGATGGATGGCAGCGGTAGGTACACAGCGGTAGGTAGGAGATGGATGGCAGCGGTAGGTATACAGCGGTAGGTATACCAAAGTCCTTCCTAACAGCTAAACCACCTACACAGTTTACCCCATTCAAAGCCTGTTAAGCTCTAAGGATGTTCCTACCCGCTGCCTATCACTGCCTATCATCTATATACAAGTCTTTGGTGGCCTCTCAGGACCCGGTTATCCATCCTTCCTGGGAAATGGGAGAAGGATTTTAATCACCGGATCTCTCGATGTTCAGAAAACTAAGATCCTGAAACTTATTGATACTTCCTCATTGCTCACCTATACAGCGGAACTCAATGATAAGCTATTGGCTATGTGGTGCAACTTTCCACCAAAGGTTCACGCTTCCCCCAAATTCCACCTCACTGTTGGAGAATGCGTGGAGCCATGGGCACCTGTGGTGGCATTGCCCATTGATACCTTTTATGGTAATACATTCTGGATCTTATCCTACAAATTAGAGGCTTTACTATAACCGGAGGTCCATGGACTGACTTACCTGTTCTACAATACATGCTCCTCCCCCAAATCCTATAGGAACCCTTCCTACTGAACATAGCAAAGTTGCTGATCCGCCTACTTTGAGGTAGTAATATTGGCAAATAGACTTCCCAGTAGACAATTTACCTTCTGTCTGTCTGGATGGTTGGTATCATACCATTGTTGGTGTGTCTTTATATCTGTCTGTCTGTCTGTACAGGGCTTCGTGAACTGACCCTTTCGGCCAATCCAGCCATCACCTGCACTGGATGGGCCCGTCTGGCTGTCGCTGTGGCTCACAGTTCTCAAGTGAGGACCCTGAACCTGGACTACAACCCGCTGGGTAAGAAGACGACCTCCCTGTGTATCTGCACCCAGATAAAGTTATATATATATATATGTATATACTCAGCAGGCCCGGACTGGCAGCTCTGGCATTTGTCAGAAGTCTCACCAGTCTGTGTGTGCTGCTGTCAGATCCTATGATCGGCTCAGACTGCTGACTACACTCCACACATCTGGTTGGGGCTCTCAGAGCAGTACAATGACTGGCTCGGTAGGGACGCCTGGCCCTAAGCTGCATCTGGTTCCTAGCTTACATGATGTATCTGTGCCGCCATCATCCTCATTCTTCTTGTGTCTGGGCAGGTGACCACATCGCCTCCATGTTGGCCGTGTGTGTGGCCTCCAGCCGTACTCTGGAGATTCTGGATTTGGAAGGGACGGGTCTCAGCAATTTGTCCGCCCAGGTAAGTCCCGATATTCTGGTCTGGATTTGCGTTACGTTACTGAGATCTCGTCACGTCACGGAGGGATTCCGCACACTGACAGCTTGCTCCTGTTCATTGTACGTCTTCTGTGACTGCGGGGTGCACGTGGTGACTTTGTGCCCTGTCATTGGCTGCTTTCCTCATGACTGCCAAACTATTGTAGTTTATAGGACATTATCCTGTCACTGCCGTGTGTTCAGACAGACAGACAGACAGACATTATCCTGAGGCCCAGTATGTATGGACAAACACACATTGTTCTGTGCAGCACTATGTATACATGGGCAGACATAAGCCTGTGACCGCAGTGTGTATACATGGGCAGACATTATCCTGTGACCGTAGTGTGCATACATGGTCAGACATTATCCTGGGACCGCACTGTGTATACATGGGCAGACATTATCCTGGGACCATAGTGTGCATACACGGGCAGACATTATCGTGTTACCGCAGTGTGTATACATGGGCAGACATCATCTTGGGACTGCAGTGTGTATACATGGGCAGATATTGTCCTGGGACTGCAGTGTGTATACATGGGCAGATATTATCCTGTGACCGCATTGTGTATAGATGGACAGACATTATCCTGTGACCGCAGTGTGTATACATGGGCAGACATTATCCTGGAACTGCAGTGTGTATACATGGACAGATATTGTCCTGGGACTGCAGTGTGTATACATGGGCAGACATTATCCTGTGACCGCAGTGTGTATACATGGGCAGACATCATCTTGGGACTGCAGTGTGTATACATGGGCAGACATTATCCTGGGACTGCAGTGTGTATACATGGGCAGACATTATCCTGTGACCGCAGTGTGTATACATGGACAGACATTATCATGAGACCCCACTGTGTATACATCGGCAGACATTATCCTGTGACCGCAGTGTGTATACATGGACAGACATTATCCTGTGACCGCACTGTGTGGGAAATGTTCAGTTTGCCCAGTCTCTTCATTGCAGATTCTGCTGGACATGATCCAGAATTATCCGACACCACTGAGGTCTCTGGTCTTGTCTGAAAACAACATCAGCATGGAGCTGCAGCAGCAGATCGCCGACCTTCTCACTGAAGGGGAAGATGACGATGAGAGCGAAGGCCCCGGACAGGAGCCCCCCATCAGGGAGAAGGGGCTGAAGAGTAATCTGGGTAGGTGAGGAGTGTTGGAGGGCGGGCACTGGTCAGAGACGGGGACACTGGTCAGAGACGGGACACTGGTCAGAGACGGGGATTAGGAAACATCTGCTTTCTTCAGAGAGAATTAATGGTGATTTATTATTACAGTATATATAAATGTCTCCAGTTCTTCTGTAATGTAAACAAAGGAATGAGGGTGCTTTGTGTCTCCATTCTGTCCCCCTGGGGATCATGTGACCAGTCTGGGGTGCCGTACAGGAGCTGAATGTGTCCTCTGATGGGGTCCTTTGTATCTGGGACCAGGTGATGATGAGGTGAAAGGTCCAGCAGTCTGAGAGGGAACTCCGGGTAAGAGAGCGGCGGTTGTTTATGGAGGAAGAACAATTCTACCATCAGTACCGACGGGGCCCTTTACAGTGAAGCTGCGGAGTGCCCCGAGGGTAACCATGAGTTAGTGTGACCAAACTAAGCATGACATGTACCGAACTGGCTGCTTTTCTTACAGCTAATGTTACCCACAATTATTATCATCATATAGGAGAGGAGTGCGGGGGGTATGACAGGGGGCACGTGCTCCATTCTCCTCCTCCTCTCTGATCAGTTCCCTCCTCTACCATTCTCCACCTCTCTGAACAGTTCCCCCCTCTACCATTCTCCACCTCTTCTCTAATCAGTTCCCCCCTCTACCATTCTCCACCTCTTCTAGGATCAGTTCCCCCCTCTACCATTTTCCACCTCCTCTCTGATCAGTCACCCCCCCCCCTCTACCATTCTCCACCTCCTCTCTGATCAGTTCCCCCCTCTACCACTCTCCACCTCTTCTCTAATCAGTTCCCCCCTCTACCACTCTCCTCCTCCTCTCTGATCAGTCACCCCTCCCCCCCCCCCCATCCCCCCCTCCC